AGAGAGAGAGAGAGAGAGAGAGAGAGAGAGAGAGAGAGAGAGAGAGATAGGATTTGGGAAAAATTGGCACACATTACAAAGTTCATACCCAAGAAATGTTTAATCTTATTTCTATTTCTTCAATTGTATATTCAATGCTGCAGGTTGTTGCATACAATGTGGATACCTTAAAAGGCCAGGAGAACTATTCATGGAAAATAATCAAATAAATTATAGAATGCTTTCCTAAAAGGGTTCGTATTTGTCTAAAAGGCGCTCCCGCCAAATATTGAATGTCAAGCTCCTTACATTTGTAAAAAAAATGTAATCCATACATGATTAATGTTCATATGTTTCAGTTTACTGTTGTAGCTTTAACCTATTTTCCTGGACATAAAAAAAGTAGTTTAGGCATCACCAGTAACTTTTCTGAAGACAAATTAGTCCTATCTGTGATGTGACGATTAAATCTGAAGCAGCCTTGATTAGCAATCATCAGGGCTGCATAGGTTCTTGCAAATTACCTTTTCAGATCACACCAACGCATGGATTCATGAAAGAGGGATTTCCACTGCACAGTGCAGAAAAAATACTGGAGCTGGAAGAGATAAGTTTGAACTTTTGGTCTGTGAGCAGCTGCTGAAGCAGAGCTGAACTGAGTTCTGTTACTGGCCTGATAAAACATCCAGTCATCCTTGAGCCTCTTTTTTATGAAAAAAGCTGCCTCTCTCTTATTAGTGGAGACAAACTGGTCTTACAGTCATCATAAGATGTAATGAACCATTTCAGAAATATATTGATTTTTTCTCTGAGTTTAACTCAGTTATGCAGAGAAACTATGTGAAATTTTAGTTTCAATTCTCGTTCTGCTCATGTGTCCTTGATGCAGATAAGAAACTGCTTAGAATACTGTACCTGTTTTAATTTAGTTATCCGCTCTGTTGAATATTTGTAACAGTTAACACAAAAAACTAATTCAAAGGACAACAGCCTTTTCACTCAACTGAACAAAGGATCGATCTCTCACTGACTGTTTGAAATTAAGCGAAATCATTTTGCCCAACTATTCATTTTCAGGGATTAATGTTAAACACTGAGGATCACGACTATAACATTTCTAAAATGATTTTATTGATCATCATTATTGTTTATCATTATTCCATTTATGATAAGCAATACATTGATGAGATGAAGGTTGGAAAGGTTTGGATGATTCAATTTTCTGAATTTCTGTCAATTTGTGGTCTCATATAGTTTAGAGGGGACAAGAATGGATCCAGCAAATGTGTGAAAAACATTAAATAACTCTGAAAGATTATTTGTACAGATTGATTTAAAGGATTAGTTGTGATTTAATCATTTTTCCAACATTAAGGGTGAAAAGGCTATGTTATTTACACTAAATTATTCAGAATAATATGCTCTTGTGAGGAATGACACACACACACACAAAAAACAGTTGTATAATAAAACACTGGATTTGTGTAATGTGTGTAAAATGAGTAATGGGCAGATTAAAGACTTAATTTGTTGTAATATTTCAAAAAGTGTCCACTGCAAACAATTGGAAAAAAATCTTGTTTTTTTTTAATGAACTGTTTTGCTGGGAACCTGAACGGTGGATAACTTTAGTCTGTGTAAGTCAAGGACGAGTGGTAGTTGACTAAAAGTATTTCTAAGCTAGACCACATCAGTAACTGCTCATGTCATCGTCAGTGGTACTCTTGACGTAACATTAACACTTTGAACCCTCATGTTCGCAGTAGGGAACAGAAGTAGACGTGAAAACCTGTCGCAGTGATTTGATGGTTTGGTTTAAGAAGTGAGTACCAAAATGGAGAAGGCCCCTGTGTAGGGAGGAGATATTTAAAAAAATACCCAGTAACTGAAGCCAGGATCACTTTATCATCACATTTTTCACTTTTTATTTGGTTGGAATAACAAAAAAAACCTAGAAAATCCACTTGAATTTCTGTCGTTGCTCTTATACTTGTGGTTTCTAAAGTTTCTGAAGCTAAAATAGAAGGCAGGCCCGGCCTGGTTTGGCTATAAGTAACCAGAATAAGCCATTTCGTTATGAATATGTAAACAACAGCATCACTCAAAAACCACCTGGCCATTTGGAAGAGTACCACTTGAGAACTGCAGAATGCTTTTGACCTCCTAAAACAGAATGTGTTTGAATGTAGTCACTTTTGGTTATTGTTCATACAACACCAAACAATCTGTTACTAGGCCCTCATTTAGACACCCTTTATGAAATTAGTAAATGGAATTTCAGGGTAATGGATTTGAAGCGGGGTGGATAGGTCCAAAAAACGACCAGCACCATAGTATTATAAACACATCCTGTGCTTTGAAATGAATAAACGATGGATTTTTTTTAGAGGTGAGATTAACTGCAACAGGCAAGTTATAATGGATAGTTAGGCCCATTAAGAGGCTGTGCTACATTTCCCATTAAACATTCTGCCCATTTTGTG